GAACAGATCTCAATTCCTTTGTTAGCATTCTGCAGCATCTTCATCAACACAACAACATCCATTTGATTCTTGAGAGACATCCTCAGAGCACAGATAATCTGATCTTCATGTGTAGAGAGAATCTAGCTTCCATAAGGCTACATCTTCTGAATTTGTCTACTTGAAACAAATACAGATCTAATCTAGATGCAATTATCATCAAACTTAGATGTATCAAGAGACACAGTCTGACTGACAATTTTGCTCTTACAATGCTGAGCTAACTTGTAAAGAGTTAGATCAACAGAGTTTAACAGAAACATCTGCTCTTAAAAAAGAATATCTACTGACTTATTCAGATTGAATAACACCAGAGATTTAAATCCTTTTTACCTCAGACAGAATGACTACTGTCCTTGTATCTTTCCACACAACTTTATTTCTCAAACATTCATTAAGAATTTCTGAAAAAATAATGCCTGAAAACATCTGATCAATTACAGTTTGTTCAACTGAGATAACATCTCAAGTTAACAGAACTTAATTGTTCATGCTTCTTCAAATCAGATCTTCTGAATTTCATCATATCCAGATGAGTTGATAAAGACTGCCTATCTTGAAACTTCTGCAGAATTATTTGAAACTCTTCAAGGATAGCAACTTTCAAATGTTTTGAATCTGAAGAATCATTTCTACCAGATTTGAACATTTTTTTTTTGAACTTGCCCTTTTCTGCAGACTATATTCTGGCGCTCTGATGAATAGGATTCATTAGCCAACAATATATCTTTTCTTACTTAAGATAAATTCCAATGAGTTGTCATGAGAAAGTCAAGTGTGGACTAATCCGTTTCTTGAAAACATCTCATACTCACCAGAATTAATCTTTAGAAATCAAGATTTCTTGCTTGCTGAAGATTTTAATCTTTGAGCAAATATGTTGAAAATCCAAACGTATTTTACATCAGCATTCAACATATATATCTTCTTATCTGATGAATCTTTCCTGTCAGCTGATTCTTCATTCTTCTTTCAGAATCTTCTGGAGGAGATTTGCTGTTGAAGGCTTCAACACTTCAAATTTCAAACTTCATAGAATCAGTGACTTGCTCAAGGTAACTCAATAGATTACAATTTTAGTACTCATTATCCTCAAAAACTGATATGAGACTGAAATTGTAAGAACAGTGAAATATCCCCAAAAGTATTTCTTCACACAGCCTATGGATCTTTATCTGACACTGTTAGGTGTTTGATATCCATCAATAACAGAACCGGAGCTCTGATACCAACTGAAGGTGTGAAAAATACACAAGAAAGGGGGGGTTTGAATTGGGTATTTGGTTACTTAATAACTTTTGCCATCTTCTTCTGTGTTGTTTCTAGATGTAGCAATGCGGAAGCATAAATAATAAACTAAACAAGTAAAGAACACAAGATATATCCTGGTTCACTTGAGCAACTCTCAAGCTAATCCAGTCCACCCTTCCAAGGTGATTTCGCCTTACTCACTGCAAGGACTTAATCCACTATAACCGAACTGATTACAGATGCACAAGCTAACTGCAAGTGACTAACAATTTGACAATGACACGTTCAGGGATCCCCAAGGATATAACGTTCATTGACACCTTAATAGAATCCGATCACTAAAGATCTCCTATTAGGATTTCCACAAATGACTACTGTCACTTGTCATCTCAAGTATACTGATCTTCACAAGATCACTTGAGGAACCACTAATTCTAAAATAGAATTTGTGTTGCCGGAGATTACATAAGTGCTTCTCAAATAAGCAGATTACTCCTAATTAAGTTCCTAGCAAGTATTGAGCAACAGCTCCTTGCTTTCTAATATAGAAACTAATCTAATAATAAATCTCTAAGAGATTATTGAGTACAGTTTCTATATGCTTAAAAGCTTTTCTGTTTGTGAGCACTAAGGCTTCTTTTCCATTTAACTTTTCTTTTCTTTGCAACAGTAGCAGTAGCACAACAGCGCAAGAGCCAACCCAATGCTTCAGCTCACTTTGAATAAACAAATGATTTTTTCTTTTATAGTGCTTCCAAGAATGACGTTGAGAGGATAAGGATGTTCATTCAAACTCCAACGGTCATATCTCAACGGATAGATAAGCACGTGTTGGATGACATCACTTTCTTGTCCTTTTCTTGCAACGGTAATATTCCATTTAACAGCTTGGAAAAATTTGCTTCTGGCTTGGTTCTTCTGATGTGTTACAGATGAGTAGTTCAGAAACTACTTTGGTATAGATAGCATAGTAAACATCAGATTCTGACTTCAGCACTTTGTTCATCAGAGTTGATAGCAACAACTCATCTGATTGAACACGTCTTGTCTGGTGAAGCTTCATAATCTTTCTTCTTCAGAGTCTGGTCTTCAGAGTCTTTTGCACTTGGTCTTCAGAGCCTTCAGCCTTCAGAACTTCAAGTCATCAAAGTCTTCAGCACAAACTTCTTCAGATGATTATATCTTCAAAGTCTTGACCTTCAGAACATGTCTTCAGAGTCTTCATAGTCTTGACCTTCAGAACATGTCTTCAGAGTCTTGACGCACTTGGTCTTCAGAGCCTTCAGCCTTCAGAACTTCAAGTCATCAGATTCTTCAGCACTTCAATTCTTTAGAGGGCTCACTCTTCAGAGACGCTCGTTAGCTTCCAGATCAGATGCACAACTCAGATCAGAATCCACAGATGCATTGCAACTGCAATATCCAGCATCCTTGATTCTTTATTGAACATGATCAGATGCAGAAACAAACTTGCTTCTTTACTGAGCTTCATTTGCTTTTAGATCAGATGCATTTCTTCAGATCATAAACCACAGGAGCATTGCAACTGCAATATACAGCATCCTTGGTTCCTTACTGATGGTGATCAGATACATAAGAAAACTAGCTTCTCCCAAGCGCTTCATGACGTTACACATAGTAATTCCATATATTACTAGTTGCACACGTTGCTTTTGTTTGTTTGGTCTAATATATTTAATTTAATATGACCTGCACATAACAAACATTAAACCATAAAATGATTCTTTCACAAATACTCAATTGTTATCATCAAAACATAGAGATAATCCTGTAGAGACAAATCTTGCTCTTACAATCTCCCCCTTTTTGATGATGACAAAACCATGTATTTTGATAGAACATTTTATACAGGGTAATCACCAAGCATTAACCTATTCAGAGTTCTAAGCAACTGCTCCCCCTGAATGTGTTAATCTTAAAAACATTTTTATGCTTGTTCAGAGACATACTCTGATCCCAAGACTTACAAAAAATAAATTTGATAAAACACAATCAAATAGAATAGAAAAGAAGGAATACTTCCCTACAATATAAGAGAGCATGAGTCTTCAGCATCTGGACTAGTTCAATCAGAACTTCCATCTTCAGATCTTTAGAACTTATCTTCTCTAAGCATTGTATCAGGGTCATATAACTTTAGAATCTTCTAAAGCATTTTCTCTTATTCTTCAGAACATCCTTCAGATGAGAAACTCCCCCTGAGTTTCAGACTGGGTAAAAATCAAATATCCTGACTTGTGAACCTTCCTGGGAGAACTCCCCCTGATTACAATATGTCAGATATTTGGATCTTCTGATCTTGATACAGTCTTGATTCTGCTTTTTCAGATTTTCTTTCATCTCAGATTCTTGGTCTTATCAGAGCTCGATGCATTGATCATACCTTTAGAAGGAGATTCTTCAGTAGCTATTTTGAAGCCAAAGAGAACAAGCATGAAGAGGTCAAAGAAGAAAAAAAGGGTCAACAAACAGTTTTACCACTCACACGCAGTCATAGAAGAGGAATAAGAGATTGATTCTGAAGACGAAGAAGTGGATTATGGCAACAATGGAAGTTGTTGGCCACGAGATGCTCTAGCTATGGATCTTTACTATAAATATCTTGTCCCCTTTTTATTTAAAATATTTTTGTAATCCAACAGTTTAATATTAATGAAATAGCTTATTTTGACTAAAATTTCTTCAGCATGCAAGTACATTCCAGTAAATTTTCCTTTAATTTTCTGAAAGTACATTAACAAAGTGAAACTGACACAGAAACAATAGTTATTTTCTTCAAGAGAGGCATGAGTGGCATCAATTTAGACAATTATTTTTTTGGGAGCATCAATGCTTATGTCTTGCTGTATTTCAAATGCTCCTTTCAAGTTATTGGGAATTTCGGCTGGGCTAATATAAGAAAATGCACTACTTGCGATCCAATGGTCTAGAATGTTAAAACTCGACTCTCATCTTGAAAAGGCTGACATCTTTCAATCGGGGCAAAATTACTCTAATAAACTTAGTGTTTAATAGTCTACCCATCTATTTCTTCTCTTTCTTCGAGACTTAATAATTTAAATATATATTTTGTCTAACAGTATCAATATCTAACTTAAACTCATGAGGATCTAAGAATGTATCTAATATATTTAATTTTATATGAAAAAAAAAAAAAGAAATCATGAAATAATTTACAAAACTATATTTTTTTAATGACATGAAAAAAGAGTAAAAAATAGTATGTTGCAAAATTGAATTTGTGAATTCGAACACTCACCACTACAATCATATGTCAATTTGTGAAATCTAACAAAATTGAGTTTGTGAATTTTAACACTCACCACTATAATCTTATCCAAATGAAAATGGAGATGTACTAAAAAAGTCGTCATCGTTGGATATAGACTTTCACATTTAGGTATGACAATTTAGCTAACATATTTGTATGCATATATTGATCCTATTGTATGCAATTTAGCTAGCATCTTATAAATAATATTTGTTTTAATAAATCGTAATTAAATAAAATCTCTGTATTTATTTTTTTATGGTTAAGCGATGACTAACTTATAAAGAATTTAAAAAAAAAACTTGAGACGGCTCTTACTACGTACACATATAGTAAATAAGATACCACAACTACAACCATAAACTATAAACAGAATTACAACTAGTATTGCAATTGTTTCATACATAACAATCACATGCTACTTTGTTGATATCACTATTCTGAGTGTTTTCACTAGTTCATCCATTGTAATATTGTATCCATCTCCCATCTGCATGATATAGCATTGATGAATAAAAAATTTAGAAATAAAAAGTATGCTAGAATTTTGTCTCTAAATAGCGTTAAGCATTACCTGAGCAACGATGGTGATATCAAAATTGAATTTTCCAAATTGCAAGACGCTACTACTCAGTATTAAAAGATGAAGATTTTCAAGATGGGTAAGTATTTTGAGCATAACACTCTTTTGTTTCTCACAGTGGACTGTGATAAGTATTTGCTTTTGTAACACTCTTGCTTTCACATCAGGAATAATATTATTACTTGTTCCACAATTGTCGCTAGAAATATTGTTGGATCCAACGTCTTCCAACTCTTTCACACGTTCTTGAAGTTGTTTCACGTACTGTCTGGTTTTCTCTAGGATCAAGATGTCGTCCATCTACACATTTATTATAAAGACAGGTTAATTTTCAAGTTATATACGCACTCATTTTTTAAGCATATTTTAGTATAGTACAATTATAAAACTTATTAAATTCACACTACTTAATTATAAAATTTGAATTAAATCAATCCAACAGTTAAATAGCTCTATATTATATTGATTATCATTTATATAAAACATCAAAAAATTTAGATATTTCTTAGTATAAATTTCAATAAGACATACATACATAATACACTTAAAACAAAACTTTAAGATTCTATGGTTTTATTTTTTTTTTAAGTAATCTAGTGGCAGAAGTCAATTTTATCAAAGATAAATAAATAGAATTTTGTGGATTAATTCTTTGATTTTATTATTGTTTTGATTTATTTAAGAAGATCTTTTATATTAATGGTTCGCATTGATTAAATTCTCTTTCTATTAAAAGTTAGTAAAGATCATCTTTGGACCATCAAAGCTATTCTCTATGGATTTGAGTTAGCCTCAAGTCTCCGTGTAAATTTTGCAAAAATTCATCTCATTGGGGTGAATTATGATTAGACTTTCTTAGACCTTACTTGCGAATTTTTCCGCTGTAAGAAGAAGTCCCTTCCTTTTAAGTACCTTGGACTTTCAATCGGAGCTAACCTCCGACTAGAATTTACATGGGAATCTGTAGTTAATCTTCTTTCTAGAAGACTCCTCTCGTGGAAGCATAAGTATGTCTCCCTGGGAGGAGAGTGATCCTTCTTAACTTTGTTCTTAATGTCATCCTTATCTTTTTTGAAGATGTATGTCAAAGTTTGGAAGAAGATAATGAAGATATAAAGGAGGTTTCTTTGGGAAGGAGTGAAAATGGAGTCTAAAATTTTTTGGTCAAGTGGGTGGATGTTTCCAAGCCTAAGAAAGCTTAGGGGCCTTGGGATTTGTGACCTTCGATTGGTCAACTTGGCCAAGTGGATGTGTCGCCTGCTTTCAGGGGCATCTAGTATTTGGCATGATATTCTAACGGCAAGATATGGTGCAACCTCTATGACTTCTATCATGGGTAGGAGAGTTGGTGGTCTCCAATCGGCTTCCTCTTGGTGGAGAGGGATTTCCCTTCTTAGTGCTAAAGTTGATGACACTTCTGTTTGATTTAGGGATGATCTTTCCCTGAAAGTTGGTTATAGCCTCCTTATCTCTTTTTAGGAGTATCTTTGGATTGGGAATACTCTCCTTCATTTTAGATTCGCTAGACATTTTCCTATTTCAGACTAGACCTCTAAGTCTGTAAGGGAGGTCGGTAGATGGGAGGGGGAGAGTTGGGTTTGGGACCTCAAATGGCAGAGATCTTTCCTCTTCGACTACGAACTGCCTCTCTTTAGCGATCTTTAGTCTATAATTAGAGGATTTACCTGTTCTACTAAGAGTGTTGCATGGATGTGGTACGTATCTTATTATGGGGTTCATTCTATGTCTTCGTCCTACTTTTATCTTTTGACCTGACAGTTCCCCCAGGTCGACAGGTTTCTCTTGCAGAGTTATTCCTTTTGTCTCTTTGTGTAGTTGGCCCCCTTTTAATTTATAATTTTTTCCTGGAAGCTTCTTTGGGATCACATCCTAACTAGAGAGAACTTACTTAAGGGGGAAGTTCATTTGATCTCTAGGACTATTTCATGTCCCTTATGTTTGTTGCTCGTTGAGTCGTCCTCTCACCTCTCTGTGACTTGTGAGGTTGCATCCACGGTTTAGTATATGATGCTTAGGTGGTTCAGGTGGTGTGTTGTCTTGCGTATAGATATCTTGACTCTTTTCCAGATATTTATTCCTTTAAGTAGGAGCTCTAGGAATATATGGGAGTTGATGATGATTTGGCATGTCGTGGTTTGATCAATTTGAAAAAATAGAAATGATATAGTTTTTTCAAGTTCTTCGGTGACATCAAAAGATGTGAAAGGCATGAGTATCATCTTGGCTTGAAAATTGTATCTTGGTAGATCAGTGGAAATCTCATGTTCCTTTCCGACCAGTCTTGAGAACCTTATCCTATTTCTGAGCTGATAGCGGGGTGCGTGGCTTGGCGGTCTCTCTTGAATGTATTTTTATTGTGCTTTTAGAGGTGTCCATGGTCTAAAGAACTATAATTCTGTCTGAATTCTTATTTTTTTTTTAATCTTTCCTCTTCTTTTTCTTATCGTTTTTTATTCCCTTAGTTAATGATTAGAATCATTATAGTTATTTGTCTTTTCTTAGTATTTCTAATGTTATTTTTTCTTTTTTATAATTGACACTCTTTATGTCTTTTCTTTTGGATATCCTTATATTTTGATTGATAATGTCTCCTTTTGTTTATATATATATATATATATATATATATATATATATATATATATATATATATATATATATATATATATATATATATATATATATATATATATATATATATATATATATATATATATATATATATATATATATATATATATATATATATATATATATATATATATATATATATATATATATATATATATATATATATATATATATATATATATATATATATATTTGTGAGACTAAAATTAAATATTTTAGGTATTACATTTATCAAAGCCAAACCCGGAGAAAGATTTTAATCATTTACATAACATTTTATTTTATGATTGAATTTTATTTATATTAAAAACTTCAAGAGAAAAAACTCGAAATATACAACTTAAACTTTAAACATAATCAAGGAACATACAAAAGCAAAAATTGAATTCTTTCAAAAAAGTATATAGTTGGAGGGTTGAACACACAAAATCTTCCTATGTCAAATAAATTAAATAAAATTTATTTATATACCAACCTTCTCCAAACCAGGTATGGTGGCTGAAAGTGCCAGCATTTTCTCTCTCAGGTCCCTCTCATATCTGTCGGTGGAATCTCCAAACTCATCATCATATGATTCAAATTCTCCATCTTCAAAAATAACGTCATCACAAATTTCCTACGTAAACCATAAACAAAATAGAATTATTCACACATTCTACAATACTATATAATTGGTGATGAATGAGTAGAAATTGCATTTTACCAAATCAGAATTAGAAGGCCAATTTTCTCCTGACTCCTCCATTAAGATAGTGAATCAATTGAGAAGAGAGAATGAGAGAAATGAAAAAATAAATAGAAGAAAAGCAATGAACCAAACTTCATTGATAAGTATTCTAGAGTTTATTATTGTTTTATTAATTACTCTTATTGTTAAAATGTAGAGAGAGTTATTATTTTATATATAATTGTTTACACGTGTCATGTTTTGAGTGGTGATGTTGGAAGCATGGGAGAGCATCGTGGTTCGCGTGTATCGCACTAGAAACTATTAAAATGCGACTTTACTTGTTCAATGGATTAGAATTGGATATCCATGCAGATATGTACAACGATATTTAACTTTAGTGTTTATTTTTTGTATTTTAATTTTTGGAGTGTTGTAAGTGGAGCTAAGTTTGTCTAATTTATTTGTGGTGGAAGTCTGTCTTTTAGACGTGTACCAATTTTCATGTCCATCTACAACTATGAACCTGTACTTGTCACTTCCTTTTTATCTATTTTTATTATTAAAATTTATCTTTCATAATCAGAATACTGAGATTGGTTAAGTTTGTTGAGAAAGTTAGTTAAAGAATAGTTAACTCTATAGTTTGGATAATTCATTAATTGTTTAATACCTTTTTAGCCCCTTCTTTATACGTTGGGTCTATTTTGATTCTCTTTATTTTAAAACGTCTAATTTGATTCCTTACGTTGTCAATTAGAATTAAACAAGTTCTTTCTATCAAATAAAGATAAACGTACAGAAAGGACGTGACAGTTGAAGTGCTATATACTTAGAACATCTTTAGTGGGAGTACACTAAATTGATAAACTAAGATATTTTTTATGGACACAAAGTGATTTGTAGGATTTAAAAAATTTATAGTTGATTTGAGTTGTTTTTACTTTAATGATGATTGCTTGTAAAAAAACCAAAATTCCACCCCACGTTTTATTTTTTAAGTTTACTTACTGTCATTTCATTCTTTTTCCGTTACTATTAAAGAATTTAATACTACAGAATCTGCACTAAAGATGCTCTTATACATGTGGCGTGTGACATGGCATATGATAAAATTTTGACCTCATTCAAGAATCGAACTAGAAATCTCTCTTCCATAGACATACACCACTACCAACAAAGCTACAATCAACTTTTGAAATATAAATGATATATAAATATTTAAAACTCCAAAATTATGGATTCCTAAGAACATGAGCGGATATAGTCTTACTAATATATATATATATGCTTCAACCTATTTTGGATCTTCTTTGTTCTTATAACATTATTTATTCACGAAAAGTTTATGCCACTTTTTGGTATCTCTCTCTCTCTCTCTCTCTCTCTCTCTCTCTCTCTCTCTCTCTCTCTTCCAGAATAGAGTAAGTAAAATTTCAAACTGATGAAAGAAGCTGAGAGCGAGTACTCTTTCTTGCTGTGAGTAATTAAACATTTGAGGTTGTTTATTATCCAAGAGCGAGTACTCTTGAGATTTGTGTTAAGGTTTCATCTGTTAAAGCTGATATGAGAATTCAATGGTGGTATGGTATGAGATTCAATTGAGTAGAAACACCGTGTAAGATCATGAATTAACTAGAATGCAGAAGGATGAGCCGAGTGTTGGTGGACAAACACAAACTAGATGTGGCCCAGAAGGTTTGCACCTTATATTTGCCTCGTCGATATCTGGCAGCTAAAGAAGAGGAGGACGCATATAACCAGTGACCAATTGCATGGATAATACTGTGATAATTATCCTTGTGCCTATCATGATAAGAAAGCAATTCAAATACCAATAAAAGCATTAGCATATTGCAGGTAGTTCCTGCAGAAAATATCCGGATGCAAATTATATTCTAGATGGATATACCTTCATTTGGAGAGAGATACATGCCTTTTTTTTCCTTCCGGCGATCATCCAATTTCCAGAATTTGCATTTACCTCATACAACACCTCGTCCTATCAATTTTGAAACAATTATCTCATAGTAGTAGCCAACATATATAAAATGTTAGATATTATTTTACAGTGGACAAGTAGCTTAGATGGCTGATAGTTGACCATTTACCCTCATTGACATGAATTTGATCCCTACTGATGAAAAAGGGTATTGAGCTTTAACTAATAGTCATTTTCATGTAATGTAATGAACTCATTCATTCAATCCAGTATAAAAAGATCTTGTTTTGGTATTTACTATCATGTCTAGTTCATTTAATATGATATCATACCTTTAAGAAGAGTTTCTCCTGCTTTATCTTCAACTTCATTCTTGGTTAAGATCAAAGTTGCGTAGAAGTTATGTTCTTCGCATTTCCAACTCATTATAAACTTGAGTGATGCACAAAGTTTTAAAGAAGCTTCCATTGTAGATCAGGAAAGTTCTCCTCAAAATTCACAAAATGTGATTTGATCATCTCAAGCCACTTCATTGCAACTTGCGTATTCAAGTACTTCAACTTTGCACAAAATCCGTCTATCACTCTTAGCTTTCAATCTAGAGGAACCCATTTCAAGGGCGAGAATCATGCCGATAATGAGAGCTTCATATTCTGTCTATTTGTTTATGACTTTATATTCAAATTTAAGTGCTTGCTTAATTAGTATATCGCCAAGTCCTTCCAAGATTATCCCTGCACCACTTTGTAACACCCTTTTCTACCCCACAAATATAATGAAAAATCAATCATATTTATCAGAGTAAAATATTGAACGCAATAAAATCATCTCAAAAGGGCGCACATTTCTCAATAATTCAAATATAGTCAATGCACCTACTAATAATTCAATGGTTCAATGGACTATTTTCTAATGTAAATAATGAAAAAAATACTAGATGACATGTAGATGAAATATCATGTGATGGAAAATTTTGCCATGTAGTTGATTTATCAGAATGGAAGAAAATTAATTCGTTGTTTTCATATTTTTCTCTTGAGACAAGGAACCTTAGGCTTGAAATTGCCACCAATGGAATGAACTTGTTTGGAAATATGAGTATTAACTATACTTCATGGTTTGCTCTTCTCATAATTTACAATCTATCTTCGTGCTTGTGCATGAAGTGCAAATATATGATGTTATCAATGATGATTTCGGGTCCAAAACAACTAAGAAATGACATAGATGTTTATTTAACTCCATTTATTGAAGATTTAAGAGTTTTGTGGGAGGAACATGTTCATGTCAATGATGCGCATAGAAAGTGATAATATTAATATAAGTGTCATGATGTTTTGTACAATCAGTGACTTTTTTACACATGATAATTTGTCTGGCTATAACGTTAAGGGACATAAAGCGTGTCCTATATGTGAAGATGATACATGCTTCCACCAACTACAAAATGGAATAAATACTTTTTATCTTCTACATCAAAAATTTCTAAGACCCAATCATCCATACCATAGATTGTAGAAGGCTTTTAATCAAGAGCGGGATTTTGATATCGCTCCAAAACCCTTCATCAGGGAAAAAGTTTATAAAAGAAAACAAAACATTAATATTGTATTTGGAAAGAACCAAAAATGTCCCATGGAGAAAAATATTTGGAAAAATAGGTTGGTGTTCTTTGATCTTCCATATTGGTCTATCTTCGATGTAAGACATTGTCTTGGTGTGATGCATCTGAAGAAAAATGTATGTCATAGTTTTATTGGAGCACTTCTTAACATTAAAGGAAATTTAAAATATATTAAGACTTCATGTTTATATGTGGTAGTGATGGGTATAAGACAAGATTTATCCCTAAAAGAAACATGAAATATAACATATTTGACACCAGCATGTCACACTCTGTCTAAAAAGGAAAAAAAATGTTTTTGCGATTGTTTGCAGAGCATCAAAGTCCTTCAAGGGTACTCATGAAATATGAAGAAAATTGTGTCAATGAAAGATTTCAAATTAGTTGACTTAAAATATTATGATTGTCATGTCTTAGTGCAACAACTTCTACTAGTGGCTATCTGTGGCATTTTACCAAAAAGTGTAAGGGTAACTATAATCAGATAATAGTACATCCAGGATAATTAAATGGATGTCATATATTCTTAAGTTTAATTTAATAATTTGGCGTGCATACGACATTACTATATTTTCATTCTATAAAAATCAAAGGATGATCATAGTATCATACGAATAGTGGGGTTATGGTTGAAGTTGAATCCATGTACTTTTATAGTTCAAAATATAAGAATCATGTAATGACATCTAAAGCTTACTCTGGGGTCATTGAAGAGATTTTGAAGATTGATTTTGTTATTTTTAAAGTGCCTTTATTTAAGTGCAAGCATATTGACAATAACATTGATGTAAAAACCGATGAATTATGATTCACATGGGTTGATCTTCGACAGATAACTTATATATGAACGAACCATTCTTCATGGCATCCCAAGAAAAATAATTTTTTATGTCATTGATCCTTCTAACGCTACATAGTCAATTGCTCTACGTACAAGAAAAACATATTTATAAAGTGATGAAAATCAATATTTAAGTTTTTGAGACCCTTTTTTCGCAACACATGTGTGTCTCTCATCTAAAGAAAATAATTCAGACGATGTGTATTCTATTCGTTATGGTAATCAAGAAGGGATATGGGAAAACTAGTAAGCAAATGTTTTATATGACTTAGTAATATATACTAATTCATTTTACATTTGTATACTTTTTACTAATTTTTTTTCCAACATGTAGAGATGTCGAATGATATCATATGTTGCTTGGTTTTAGAAGTAAAAAGTCGAAAAACAAAACCCCCTAAAATAAGTGTTATGATTTCTGACATTCATATATGCTTATAAATTATTTATGTTAGTTATAGTTATTGATTCATATTTTTGATATTGAAGTTTGAATGTTGTTGTTGTTGTGGTTGAGATTAAAGTTTGAATAATGTTGTTGTTGTTGTTGTGGTTGAGATTGAAGTTTGAATAATGTTGTTGTTGTTGTTTTGGTTGAGATTGAAGTTTGAATAATGTTGTTGTTGTTGTTGTTGTTGTTGTTGTTGAGATCAATGGTTTAAAGATATAAT